CTCGTCAATCTCATCCTTATTACATCCCTGAGAACAGCCAGAGAAGGCCAGCATATCCATTTCGTATCTCAGGTGCAGTACCATAAAAGGGCCCTTTTGCCTGAGAAGTCGAACAACCTTTCTGCCCAGCTCTTCTATCTGAGGGGTGAATTTCAAGGCACTAAAATTTACTCGACAACGCAGTTTTTGAATTTCCATGGGTTGACCATTATTGGCAAGCCGAGCATCGGTTCTGTTTAAGTGAACAACTTTGTACTTCCGAATTAGGGGAAGAATCTGTAATCAGCAAATGCGGCAATTATTACTCACAGAAGATTATGTGAGTTAACAACACCATCAAAGACCCGTGGCCTAAACCTACAAACCTGATTGTGGTAGTAAGAAATATCAGACCAACTGATAGGAGGCATGGTGTAAATCATTCCTAGCTCTACTCTCCTCTTCAATCTTGGGGGTAGCTCTCTCAATATTCGAACTTCATCTCTCAAGGATGATATAAAATNCCTACAAACCTGATTTTGGTAGTAAGAAATATCAGACCAACTGATAGGAGGCATGGTGTAAATCATTCCTAGCTCTACTCTCCTCTTCAATCTTGGGGGTAGCTCTCTCAATATTCGAACTTCATCTCTCAAGGATGATATAAAATGATCAACATCAAAAATATCTTGGAATTCACTGCAAGTTCAACAGCATTGTTAGTGTACCACAGATCATTACCCTTTGTTTTTTAAGGAACCAATCTATAATTAGAATCAACATACTCAAGGAGACACACCTTGGATCAGCCCAAAATGAGGTTTTATCCAGCTCAGGAACTATGAGAGTCACATTCAAATATCTTGCAATAGTAACCATATCACATATCTGCAACAAAAAATACAGAGGAATGAGGGGAGAATTAAAGAAACTTAAAACTCACAACCGTTACTCTTATCGGATTACATCAACACGTGCCACTAAACTGATATTTATCTTAAGTAAAGCCACTCACCGCAGAACGCATTTGATTCAGCCCTCCATTGCATGAAACCATAAGGTAACCGTTATTTTTGTAAACCCCTGGATTCAAAAATAATTATGACAACAGTCAGGACTCAGATACTCATGAGAAAACAAATATCCAAGGAACCAAATTCTCAGCAAGCTCCTTTGCTGTTTTATTTGGACCATTAGCGTTGCACAAAAAGCTAGAACAGCCTGAATAGGACCTTTCGGTGACTTCAACTAAGATTTACAGGCAATATATTCAACAATTCTACCACATATTTTACAAGTAACTCAATTTATAATTAGCACCATGCCACAAAAGACTGATGATCAGAAAACACTCTTTACATGTCACCATAATGTATGAAGTAACACCCAACGGCTATTTCACAATTTCACCAAAAATAGCCCATCAATGCTCTACTCTGTCACAGAATATGTTAAAAAGCTACTCACTCTTAGGTGGAAGAACTCTAGCAGGGACCTCGGGCGCCGAATTGACAACAAATGAAGCAGCAGACTCCTGTGAAAAACAAGAAGGCCAGCCTTTCAAAACCCTAGGACCCCAAGTCTCTCCTAAAGTCATCAATTGAACCACACAAGTCCACAACAGTATCGACGTTGTTGCCCTTATCATCCATAACTTCATTCTAGACCGTGACATCATTGAACTTTTCAGTTTCTCCACACGATTATCACCTAAAGCCACTGCTTTGAAACCCATTATCTTCTTCCCCTCCTCTCTGTCCTCCAATTCACTCTTTTTCCCCTCTATTCTGCACATATCCCACCCATACAAACTCCACTCTACTCAAAATTCTTATCTATTTACTCCAAAAAAGCTCACTCCTTTTTGATAATGTAGTATCCAAAATAACTCAGAAACGAAAGGAAAATATTTTCTCTTTCAAGAAAATCCTAAGAGAAAACGGAAGCGGATCAAATCCGAGCAGCAAGAGAAAAGATGACAGAAGTTATTCTTTCAGAAACGTGAACAAAACTTGGATTATTAGATCTTTCAGAGAATTTTGCTTTTCGAAACAGCACCAGAAACCCTAAATTTCTCGCACATTAAGGGAAAAATGGACCAAAAGTTCGATCTTTGAGTAATAACGGAAGCGAACCCTAACTAGTTATTCAGTTCTATTTTTTCTAGAGCAAGAAAAATCAATTAAAAAAGAATAAATGCGCATGTGGCGGAGAGTTTGGAAGATTTTCCGGCGAGACGGTGACGTTCGCCGGAATCTGGTGCCGCCGTCGGTGGGCGATAAGAGAAGGAGGGAAAGAGAGATTGTGAATGTGAAGAGAGAGGGAGAGAGGGAATAAGAACACGCACATGTTCTTAATTTTAGGGGAGTGATTTGGTGTGTGGTTATAGCGGTTATCACATGCGGCAACTTCCACAGTTCTCTTCCTGTTATTTTTCCATTTCCCCTTTTATGTATATTTTATTTATTTTATTTTATTTTATGTTTTGTTTTTTTCTTTTTCTACTTTGGTCTAGCACTAATATATAGTCTTGTTTGACAGCAATGATTATTATTTTTATATTCGTTCTCCTTTGGGTTCATTTCCTAAACTAAATAAATTAGTGTCATTGACCTTAATTTTTTGAATTTAAATTGGCTGGAGGCTATCTTTGTTTGATTATGTCATATCAATTTCTAATGTACAAATCATTTGAACAAATGGCACAACCTTATGAAGCATGTCACTATAATGTGATTAATATAATGTAATAATATGCTTAGACCAATTTGTTCTTTGTGAAAATAAACCATATTTATCAATCATGTAAAATCCTCTTAGAGACACAAGTAAGTCCATTTAACTCTTTGAATAAGAAAAAGGCAGTTTACGGGAAACAGTTTCTTTATCTCTATGAGGTAGGGATAAAGTTTGCGTACACACTACCCTCCTCAAACTGTATTTATGAGATTAAACTGGGTTTGTTGTTGGATAAGAAATTAAGAGCCAAGATATTTGTACAATTAATAATTATAAGCTAAATATATAGACTTTTTTTATTATGTAAAATATTGCAATTAAAAAGGTTCAATCAGTAATAGAAGAGCAATATCATTATTATTGATCACTATCTTTTTCTCTTCACATGAATCAAACTTGTTTATTGCAAAACAACTTGACGAATTGAAACTTGATCAAAGCTAAGATTAGACATTTTACTGCCAAATTAAGCCATTGGTTGTCAATCTTTTTCAATGTGCAAGGGACAGGATAAAAATAAAACATTTACTTAAAAATAAATGAACTCAATAGAAACAAAACAATGACAACAACAAAAACAATAGCGACCCAGTATAATCCCACAAGTGGAGTCTGGGGAGGGTAATATGTACGCAGACCTTACCCCTACCCCGAAGGGAAGAGAGGTTGTTTCGAGGAGAAACAAAACAATGACAACAACAAAAACAATAGCGACCCAGTATAATCCCACAAGTGGAGTCTGGGGAGGGTAATATGTACGCAGACCTTACCCCTACCCCGAAGGGAAGAGAGGTTGTTTCGAGGAGAAACAAAACAATGAGAGGAAAGATAAAAGGGGAGCAAGAGCAACCATTGGAGTATGAAACCGGGCACATTAGATTCCTCCTTAGCAGTGGCGGAGGCAGGATCTCCACGAAGGTGTTCAAAAAAAAAAATTGTAGCTAATGAGAATTGAACTCACGACCTTATGTATATTTTGAACCCCCTTAACCACTAAATTACGCTTTTGGATTATGTTAAAGGTGTTCAAAACTTAATATATATAGAGATAAAAACTAAATTTTACCTTATATACACAATGTAATTTTTCGGCGAAAGGTTTCGTCCCGCTCCTCATGTTAGAACAGAGTTTTGATGAACTGAGAACCACGGCAAATAAGGAAATATAACCAATAAATGATAGCCAGCTAAATTGCTATCGGTTAGGTCCCATTTCAATAAAAGTCTAGTCAGATGTGTCAAAAATCGAGCCGTATAATATTACACGTGGCACCGTGAGATGACCGTACAACAACCTTCGTATCGCCCGAATTATAATGGACATAGAGACACCGACAATATCTCGCGATATTTCTGCGGCTGCATTTAGAAAAAACCTTTATTTTTAATTTTTATTTTTATCCTTTTTTCTTTTGACATTCTTATCACGAATTAGTTGGCTCTTCCTGTTTTACTTTTTTGGCTTTATTCACTACGACATGAAAGTGCAGCTGAAGAGTGAACCGATCCCTAATTTATCTTTGCCTTTGTAAATACATCTAAATCACACTCTTACTGATCCAATTGCAAAGAAATAACATTTTCTGTCTGAGTATGAGAATTGTTTAACCAAAAAGTACTAGAACCTTTTGACTAAATCAATTAATAATGAGAAGAGGAAAATCTTAGCCAAGCATAATCAACCTCAGATCTACAAATATATAGCGAGATAATGAATAAAAACAAAAAAACATTCTAGATTTCTTGATGTTACAATCCTATTTTTTATAAGAAGAGAGAAATATCAGTTTACATCCTTCAGAAGAGGAAATTGTAAGAGAAAGAGTTGAGAGGAAAAGTCCCGACCCCTTTTTCCGAGAATCCCCCTTCTATATATAGTTCTTAGAACTTTACTGTGTTCTTTAACCAACATATTCTGACATGATGGTCTTTTCGTTGTTATTCGAGTACCATTTTTGCTTGACATACACTGTTGATGATTGGACTGAGGTTGGCCGTGGTGCTTCTGCCATTTCGCCACATAGGCGAGGTCCTAGCTTGGTCGACCACTGTGGCCAGATTTTGACCCATACAGTTAGTCTCTCCGTCCGTCGAGGTTGTCCCTTGGCGAGCTTGGCAGACGGACTTTGTAGATTCAAAGGCTAGGAGAAATCTGACTGTTCATGCCTTGAACGAGGTTTTTAGATCGAGGCGATGGCGCAACACTTCAACGATGCCTTTGTTTCGTTGCGTCCGTTCGGAGTCGAAACATTGTGTTGATTCGAAACGTCATTTGTAGTTATTGCCGTTATGGCACACATTTCTTGGGGATTGAACCGTTTCACGCCTTATCAGTGCGAATTGGCGACTCTTGGGTTTCCCGCTTGGGGCATTTATATCCCTATAAATAGGGGAAATACCAATCTATTGACATACTTTCTTTATTTATCAAAAGAATTTTGCAACTTTTCTTCTTCCCCGATACTTCAGATTTTCGATTCTCTCTTGTCGGTCAGAAATTGGCATCTTCGTCTTCCCTCTTACTTCCTTTGTTCATTCGTTCTATTCAATTGAGACAAATGGCTGCTACTTCTTCCCACGCTAACAATCTTGCCGCAGTTCCGACACCGGGAAATGATGTTCTTGTTCCCAGAGGAGTAGAAGTAGTAGAGGATAAGGAGGTTCCAACGGCGACTGAAATATTGCCTCATCCCGAGAAGCCGTGAACCGATTTCAATAGCCCTGCCGGAGAGGAACCGGAACTTGTTTCCTCTATTATGAATGTGGTGGTGATTGCGGAGCTGAAGGTTTGGGGGGATTCCGCACCACATCGGGATGTTGTCGGCGGTGGGAGATGATATCATACATTTCGACCGTCCAGGATATTGTGTGTTGTACGCATATCCTTTTATTGTCGGGTATATGCTTCCTCTCCCTTCCTTGGTGGTAGATTTTTGCCATTTCTACGAGGTGTGTCCGGCTCAACTTTCGTCGTACCTGTACAAACTGTTCCTCATGCTACTCAAGTTCGTGGAGCTTACCGGTCGGGAGATCACTCTGAGACCCATGCTCAATATTTTTGCCCCTCAACTCATTCGAGGCACGATGATTCACATGTGTCATCGAGGGACGAAGAGTCTGGTGGTGAAGATGGACGATAGAGCCAACCATCGTTTCTACGAAAACTACTTTTATGTGCGGGTCGAGCACCTTGTGGTGGATTCTGCAGGGTTTCCCAAGAGATGGAACTTCGCACGTAAGTTTTTGTATCTTTTGTCGGAATGATAATCGACCGTTTTTCTTTGGGCAGTATTGAACTGTTTTACTTTTGTAGCCGCGAGACTAACCCTTGCACCTGTTGACGATATCCGCAAATGGGTGAATGTCATTTTTTTCTCATACGGCGGGAGTTCGCGGATGGTCGTCTTTTTATGAGAAATATGGACGTAACCCCTTACTGGTAAGTAGTTTTGCCGCAGTTTCTATTTTCTACTTTGTAATTTGGCTCTGTTGCTTATACGAATTTTATCGTTATTAGGGAGAGTGCGAAGGGCGAGGGCTCCTCCACATGCATTTCGTCAGCCGACATTTTCTGCTCGGCCCATAGCAAGGTCTGCTATCCGACCTATGATAAAGGCTGCTCAAGTTGAATCTACGGTCGTAGCCGTGTGCACGGAAACTGTTCCTCAATCTGGGGCTCCGACTCCTACTACCTGCTCAACGGGGTAGTCTTCCCGTGCTGAGGACGGGAAGGGCCGTCAAAGAGGTGACAAGTGGAGTCCGAAATGGCTCCTTCAGTCGTGGTATGTTCAGAGGGCGGCATCCCCTTGACGGAGTCGGAGATGAGGGACGAGGCTAAGCCGTCTACAGAGGTCGAGTCGGTTACCGTGAACAACCCACCGACAGAGACTCTGGCTGTTATGATTGACCAACAGACTACTGCGATAGGGAGTCGGAATCCCGAGGTCATTGTTGCTACTTTGGGCGGGCTTTTATCTCCCGGGCCGGGTCTTGCTTCTTCCTCGGCCACAGAAAGGGGAAAAGGTGTCGTGGTTGATGACTATGAATCTAAATCCGATCTTGATCTTGATGATGTCAGGATATTTGAGGAGGGCCTTACTCGTACGGTGGTACACGCGGGAGGCCCGACCCGTATACTTGAAATCCTATTGGAGATTAACCTTCTGGGAGATACAGAGGACTTGGTATCGCAGTTTGACCTTTTGTGCTCTGCCACCAAGTGTGGGGCTCTTTGGGACGTCAATGATGTCGATTTGATGCATGAAGTGGCTGCTATGGGCGTGAGGGTAAGTTCTTCCTCTTTCTTTTTGCATTCTTTTTATCTTTGGCGGCCTTGACCTTTACCAACTTTTTTCGTCTTCCAAACGTACATGGTGGAGATTGAAAATGCCCTCAAGGCTAACACTCGGGCCAAAAATGTTCTGATGATGTTAGAGAAGTATCGGCGCTAGCTCAACAAGTGTCGTGAGATGCATGAACGACTGAGGGCGAATGCCGGTGATCGATCTCTTGGTGAGGAACTAGAGAAGAGGGATCAGGAGCTGATGCAGGCTATTCGTAGGAATAGCGAGCTCGATGAGCAACTTCGTGTAAAGGACGAAAAACATGAATTGGGAAAAGGGGTTGCCACAGAGTGTGAG